GGATGGACGGATGGACGGATGGACGGATAACAATTCCCATTTCATTGTTTTTAAGAGTTCTCACAACCTTTATCCATACACTACTAAACATTTCACAATGGCTTATTTCATCCTAAAATAACTTCGTGAAATGCCATTAAGGCTAACGTTGTGCCATTGTCTTGAACTACATCTGTAGCGAAAACCTATCAATCAGAATAAAGAACTAAAAGGAAAGCCAGCGTCTTTTATCATAACAAAAACTACGTGACATTGAAACCCTGCCAATTGTCAGCAAACAAACCTTCCTCCTTTAAATTCAAATTTAAATTATACATTTATATATGATATTTTCATCTTGGGTCAGATGTTCCTGTGTCATTTCTATCTTCTAGAATATCTTTATCTTTGTTGCCACCTAGATTGTACTTTTCTGAAAACAAATTGGAAGCAAAAGTCCGAGTGATATAACGCTCTTCAGCTTCGAATTATGCTTTGATAAAAGGCTTTTGTCAGCTTATCGTTGCGTGTTCTGTATTTCTTTTCTTTAGCACTCAGCAGCTGATCGGCCATGACAATTCAGCCTACGGCAACGTTTATAATTGATCCGGTGCTAGACCTATGGCAATTAAAACTGTGGAATTGAAATATAGGGGTGGGATTACTTTAAAGGTGAAGGATGTGATGAGGAAGGGAGGGAGAGTCTTGTGTAGTGAGAATGAAACAAGTTAAAATATTAGCTCTCGAGTGTAATTCTTGCTAGTGGACTTGGCATCACATGTGCTGATGTACGATTTGTTTCTTTCTTGGTTCAAGGGTATTCTCCCTCCTTAAAAGCCGTGCCCTGACTTAGATCAGCATAGAGGTTGTTTCAGGGTTTGATCTGTGAGTTAGCCATGCCCTGACTTAGATCAGACCGGAGGTTGTTTCAGTGTTCAATCTGTGAGTTAGCCATGCCCTGACTTAGATCAGACCGGAGGTTGTTTCAGTGTTCAATCTGTGAGTTAGCCATACTTAGATCAACACAGAGTTATTTCAGGGTTCAATCTGTGAGTTAGCCATGCCCTGGCTTAGATCAGACCAGACGTTGCTTCAGGGTTAGATCTTTGAGAAAGCCATGCCCTGGCTTAGATCAGCCCAGGAGTATAATTACTATGATAGAATAAATAACAAAATAAATAAATGGTATTTACCACTGGCTTTCCACGGACAGAGTGGCATTACATCCACTGAAATAAACTCATAGAGATTATCACAGATGTCAAGAGCTTGATATCGTTATCATTCATGAGTTTCCATATCATATCGCGAAAGAGCGAGTCCGCCAGCAAGTGAGCGATATGCAATGGAAAACGAGTGAATATAAACTATATCAGGTTCTCAACATTTGCTAATTTATTTATCACAAATTAAGGGTCGATAAAATGACTAAATTTGCAGTTTCCAGTTTACCGTGAAGTGATATCGTATCACTTCACTGATATGGTTTTTATTCACGGCTTTATCACACAGATATCGACCCTATATGTGTAATAAAATTTAAATACCACATTGCTTGTGTAGCAGAAGTTAAATTTTCTTAGTACCTTTTTTTCCTGTCTTTTTTATTATTATTATTATTTATTTATTT